CCCCCTAATTTGTGCTCTCATCACCACTTGCTCAGACAATCAGAATAGTTTCCTAACTGGTCTCCTTAACTTGTAGTCACTCCTCTTCCCAATTCTTTTTTTTTTTACAAAGCTACCAAAATAGTCTCCCTAATGCATAGACTTTTTTTTTTATTTAAAAAAAAACCTTTCAGTGCTTCCATATCATCTATTAAAATAAAATACAAACTCATTAGCCTGGAAATTGAGACCTTACATAATACAGTTCCAACCTATTTTTTTTTCAAATTTATTTCACATTATTTCTCTTCCTGCCCTGATTTCAGTCAAACAGAACCACTGGCTATTCCTCCCAACACCCTGCATTTTGTCCTGGTTCTCTGCTGGAACACACTTCTATCCTTATTTCTGCTTGCTAAAATCTCCTTTTTTATCGAGGTTTACTCAGAAGTACCACATTCTCAATGCCACCTTCCCCAATTCCTACCTTCCCTGATTCCCATCTCACAGCTCAAAGTATTGATTTTCATCTGTATCTCCACTGCCTTGCACACCTGAGGCCCTACGTAAATGTTTATTGAATGAAAATAAAGCAAGGTTCTAAAGAAAACTTAATGTTCCCCTCTAAAAAGAGAAAGGCCCTACAATAAACTCGTAAGTTGAGATTTTTCACTCTAAAGATGAACTGAAGTCTAAAGGACAGGGGAACACATTTTTCACTGCTTCAATGACATTAATGGTAAAAATAAAATATTAAATCATTTAAAATAAAATAACCAGAAAGATGGGCAGCTAACCTGAGAGGCTAATATTCTGTGTCCTCATCCTTTACTGAAGTTCTTGCATGTTCTTTCACACCTCTGGTATACTCTTTATTAGCAAGGTACAGGGACTGAGTGCTGGAGACACATCTTATCTACTCGACCCAGAAGGATAAGTCACAAAGTGGGGGGGTCCTTCCTTGCAACCCAGACTCTCCATTCCCTCCTCCTGAAGTGATCCCTGCCTATTATCCCCTGAAGTTTTAACCTCCTGCAAAACAAATTGAGAGAAATCATAGAAAAATATCTTCAAACCTTTGTTCAAAAGCCCACTTGAAAAATTTCCAGTCTCAGTCAAAAGATCCCCAACAAGACTTCTGCACTACCAGAGTAAGAATTTGGCTTTCTTCTATTCTCCTCTCAACTAGCTAAAAAAACACCTAGTATCCAGGATCCCCATCGATACCATGGTGCTTTGAGTGACTGTAATGGGCTCTGAACATCTGCGGTACAAGTCTGCTGCTACAAAAACTAGATTCCAATGAAAGTCAATTTTTTGTTCTTGTGTCAATGGAATGGTTCACATTCTACTTTTTTTTTTTAACCACAGAGGAACACCTCATTACATTAGCCTATCACTAAGAGTTTTTTCCCCCCTTTTTGCAACAAGCCCTTCTCTATGGTTTTTACTTCCACATTAAATCTGTGGTATAGCCATCTGGTTAGGATGCCAGATAAGCCCCTTGAGGGTAGGGGCTATATTTTATATCCCCATCCCCAGTATATGATATGGAACGTTATATGTGTAGTTCTTAATCAATATTTTTTGAACCAACGAATGGTATTCAACATGAGTTATCTCAGGGGTGGGGAACCTGTGGCCTTGAGGCCACATGTGGCCCTCGAAGTCCTCAAGTGTGGCCCTTTGACTAAATCTAGGGAAGTTCAAGTCAAAGGCCCACACTTGAGGACCTCGAGGGCCATATGTGGCCTCAAGGCCACAAGTTCCCAATTCCTGAGTTATCTCTTCTTGTAAAAATACCTTTTACTGGAAAATTCAAGAAGGCATCTACCCCTTTATCTTGCCTACTATACAGCATACTCAGAAATTAATGATATGAACTATAGACTGGAAGATATGTAGGGGAAGAAGAGGAGGTGTCTGGAATGAATTAAGATACTGAAAAGGGAGTAAAGCATGTTTCCTCATGGATGAAAAATGGAACCACTTACTAAGTACCTGGTATGTTCAAAGCTAACTATGCTAATGTATGCCAGGCTATGGGACTTGCCTAAGAAAGTCCTACTGAATATAATCCTAAACCTAAGAAGTTTTTAATGGTAAGTAACGAAGAAGACCAAGTCTAAACCTGTATTTATTTTATAGGACATACTAATGAGAGATTACTACTCCATCAGTAAATGAGCTAACTTCAAAGGGGACAAAGTTATTTGGGCTAGTAAAACTAGTGTTCGCCAAAAGACCACATATTTGAGTTGTAAATATTTGAGTAGCCCAACCAGAAAAAAGGACCATATGTTCATCTGTCATTTTCCACCACCTTTACCACCATCCCTGTCTTCGAATGCCTGTCACACATTTCTAGTGAAAGACCTAAAGTTTGTAAAGGTAACTCTGAAAAGAGAAATAAAAAGAAAATCCATTAAGAGTTATGACAAACAACAATGATAACAACTACAATTTGAACATGATTTGAGGTTAGCAAGAGAAATTTTTAAAAATCATGTTGTCAGTAAGAGGAATATTTTCAACATCTTTCTAGCTACTTCATACTCCTCTGAATGAACCAGATGGGAAATTCCTAAGTGACACTTGCATAAGAATTGGCAACTTTAAAATTCCCTCATCAATAGCTCCTTGGGTATTGACATCAAATTTAACATCTTCTAGATCATCAAGATTACTTTGTTGATGTCAAATAAATGTCCAAATGTGAAAGGGAGACAGCTGTAATATAATGGAAATAACAATAATAAGTGGGTGGGATAAGACTCCAATGGTGACTTTACTGCTAGGTCTATGATCTTAAGCAAGTTCAACTTTCTCACCTGAAAAATGGATTGGTAACCTTTAAGGTCCCTGCCAGGCTCACACCTATGATTTGGAGTTTACTTTTTGACAAACTCATTTGTTTCAGGTTTGGGGAGGCACATTTTCTGTAGCAGCTAAATTGGGGCAGTTAAGTTTCCTTCTGTTCCAAAGTCATGATCCCTCCCCCAAGCCCAATCACTTATCTCAGAGGAATGTGCCCCTGGATGCAAAAAAGAGAGATAGTATGGATAAAGCGAACCAAATCCATGCCTACGATAAAAAAATATATATTTACTATTATTGGTGAATGGATACCATTACTTTTGTATTCCAAAGATAGCAAATAATCTGACATATTACTGTAATCTGAATGACTGAACCTCAAATTAGTTTGTAAATAAATGTGACAGTGAAAGAACTAATTAGAACAAAAAGGGTATGCTAACACCATTTTGTCAGAGAAGACTGAGGCAACCAAAAGTGGAACAGAAACAAACGCCTTTCTTAAAATACCTGGGTAAAAAATACACTGACAATCAAACCCTTGGGCCAGGTTATACATAGTACTTCCTCATTTCTCACTTGCTTCTGGAGTAAACAGCTTTAAAAAGTGTCTTACTTCATTCAGTACACAAGAACCCTGTTCTTTTGGCGGAATACTCCGGCGACAACAGTCTAAAAAATTACTTAATTCATATTTAAAAAGAAGTTCTGATTCAATTCAATTTATGTAATGCTTCAAAATGGTTTACAGTAATACCCTTCTATAGAGTATCAGTTCTTGAAGCTATATTAAAAGCAAGCAAATACTATGTTTAACTTGTTTGTTGAATATGTTACAGTGCATATGATTACAGAACTGAGCATTTAATTATACTAGAAGTTACACAACTAAATATATAACACTAGAGGAAGAAAAGTAATGGAAAAAATTCATGTAAAACAACAGCAGTATTAATGAGTATTAAATTTTATGAAAGCTGTATTCAAATCTTTAAGAAAAACAATTTGCCATTTTTGGGGAGAAAAAATGTTTTCTTGCATTCCTCCAAATCAGGAACTTTTGTGAAAGAGACTGGGGAGACACTCTCAACAACGCCTAAGAAAATATTCTCTAAGCCTTCTCCTTAGTGACAGAAGGGAGAATATCAACTTTGAGTGCTGTTTAGCAAGCAGTCTAGACAAGCTGCTGGTGAAACACTGCAGTTAAAGAAAAACAGTTTTAAAGGGAATCGCTATAAAGATGCCTCTGTTTCAAGTGGCTTATCCTTAGTCAGCCTAGGACAAAATCTTAGGCCCAATAGCACAGGTATCCCAGAAGTTATCAACAGTAGCATGGGAGGGGGTGAGGGTGGGATAGACATACCATACATAGATACATAAATACATACATATGTGTGAGAGTGCATGCGCACCTAAGTAGGTATTAGACTATATATAAAAAGATTTTCCCATTCATCCTTTGTCCTATGTATTTGACAGGGCCAGGAGTGGGCAAAGTAGATATTGTAAGAAAAGCAGTTCCTCTGCTGGTGAAATGAAAATTAGTGTTCAGTATGCGGTGGTGGTGGTACTAGTACTACTACTACTACAACTACTATTATTACTACTACCACCACTACTACTACTACTATTGCTACAACTACAGCTACTACTACTACCACTGTTACCACTACTACTACAACTACTATTATTACTACTACCACTACTCCTATTCCTACTCCTACTCCTACCACTACTACCACTACTACTAAGCAGTTACCATGCAGTGTTTTACATGTTTTATCTCATTTGAAGCTCACAACAACCCTGGGAGACAGGTGTCATATTATTAGCCTTATTTTACAGAGAAAACTGAGTCTGACAGAGGTTAAGCAACTTACCTCAGGATCATACACTTAATAAATATTTGAGGCAGGATTCAAACTCAGGTCTTCCTTACTCCAAGTCTAGTGCTTTCTATATGATATCACTTACATACCTAGTTACAGTACATATCTATAGAATATCCCAAAAGTCTTAGTCTTAAAATCTTAAAATTGCACTAAGGCTTTGTATAATAACTGATCAAACCCAAACTCACCTAAAACTTCTAAATTAGGTTACTGTAGACATGAGTACTATCAGATATCAATAAGTACAATTAAAAATGTCATGTTATATCTTAGCTAAATCAATCAGACAGAAACGATAGATAATGGACTCACTTGTCAGACTCAGGGAACAGGTCACAACTCTGAAGTTTTGAGAGAGCAAGGTGGAAATGATGCACTTCAAAAAAGAAAAAAATGGGGCAAGAGTGAATAGGTTACAAATTTAAATACTGTTATTGTTTGTGCATCAAGATACTTTCTCCCTAGTATTTTCGCCTACTGTAGCTCACATAAGGTTTATTCTGCAGTGAGAAGGCAGTGAGCCAGTTTAGTCAGAATCAATCTCGCAAATGCTCTACATTAACCATGCTATTTGTAATACCCAATAAATTCATTCTTTCTAATTTTTATCTTGAGCAACAACACAAGTGATAAAGTCTGTTAACAATCTAGTTATTCTGATACAGTTCCTGTCCAAAAATAACAATCAATACTCATGGAGTTTTAGCTATTACCTCTAGGTATACTGACAAATTTTCTATTGATGTTAAAAGATATAAAGCCATCTATGCCTCATTGTAATATAATAAAATTAAACTCAGAAAAGGAATGAACCTTTAAGTCTTATTGCCTTTTTTTTGTATCCATTTTACTTCTTATGATCTTTGGTCATAAACTCTTCTCTTATCCACAGATCTGATGGGTAAATTTTTCCATGCTCCCCTAATTTGCTTATGGTATTACCCTTTATGGCTAAATCACATACCCATTTTGACCTTATCTTTGTATATGGTGTAAGATGTTGATCCATGCCTAGTTCATCTACCAAACTGCTATCCACTTTTTCCAGCTATTTTTGTCAAATGGCAAGTTCTTGCCCCAAATAAAGACTTGGATCTTTGGGTTTATCAAACACTAGATTACTATGGTCATTTATTACTGTGTATTGTGTACCTAATCTATTCCACTGATCCAACACTCTATTTCTTAACACCAGATTGTTTTTACTGCTTTGCAATATAGTCTGAAATCAGGTATGGCTAAGCTACCTTTCTTTACATTTTTTTCACTGATTCCCTTGATATTCTTGACCAGTCTTCTCAGGATGAAATCCAAGATAGCAACAGTTATATTTTTAACTTTTAAAAGTTCCAAATTGCTAATAATTAGAAAATTACAAATCAAAGCAACTCTGATGTTCCAACTCACTCCTATCAGATTGGTCACAAAGTTGACAAGTATGGAAAATGGCAAATGCTGAAGAGGTCATGGGAAAACAAGCACATTAATGCACTGTTGGTAGAGCTGTGAATTGGTACAGCCATTACGGAAATGATTTGGTACTAAACTGCGTACTCTTTGACTTGGCAATACCATTACTAGACCTATATACTAAAGAATTCTAAGAAGGAAAAAGTACTCATGTGTACAAAAATATTTAGAACAGCTATTCTTGTAGTGGCAAACTACTGGAAACTAAGGGAGTGATCATCAATTGAAGAATGGCTAAACAAAATCTGTATATGGATGTAACTGAATACTATTGTGATGTAAGAAATAATGAAAGGAATGGATTCAGGGAAACTAGGGAAGACTTGTATGAACTGAAGGCAGAGTACAGTGGACAGCACCAGGACAACAATCTATACAAAGGCAACAACAATGTCAATCATTCAGTCAATAGACATCTATTAAGCACCTACTATGTGCTGCCGGGCACTGTGCTAAACACAGGGGATACAAAAAAAGACTGGGGGTACAAAAGACAGCTCCTGTCTTCAAAGAGCTCACAGTCTAATGGAGGAGGCAAATAAATATGCATAGACAAGCTACATACTGGGCAAATAAGAAATAATTAACAGAGGGAAGGCAGTAGAATTTAGAAGGGTTGGGAGAGGATGGGATTTTAGATAGGACTTAAAGGAAGCCAGGGAAGGCAAAAGGTATAGAAGTGGAGGAGAACATTCTGAGGATGAAGGACAGCCAGAGAAAATGCGCTGAGTGGAGAGATGGCGTGTCTTATTCTAGGAACAGCAAGGAGGCCAGTATGTAGCAGACTAAAGAAGACGTGGTGGTAAGAAGTACCTGGAAAGGTAGAAGGTAGGAGGAATTATGAAGAGCTTTGATTTTGCTTTTGATCCTGGAAGGAAGCAATAGGAAACCACTGGGGAGGGTAACATGGCCCAACCTCTGCTTTAGGAAAAGCACTTTGGTGGCTGAATGGAGGATGGATTGGAGTGGGGAGAGACTTGAAGCAGGAAGACCCACCAACAGGCTATCATAATGGTCTAAGCATAAGTTGATGAGGGCCTGGACCAGGATAGAAGCAGTATCAGAGGAGAGAAGGGGACACATCAGACAGATGTTGCAAAGGGTAAAGTCTTCAGGCTTTGGCAACAGATTGGATATGGCGGGGTGAGAGTGAGGAATTGAGGATAACACCTAAGTTGTAGCCTGAGGGACTGGAAGGATGGTATTGACTTCAATAGTAATAGGGAAGTTAGGAGGGTGGAAGTCTTAGGCAGGGTTAGGGAACCTACGGCCTCAAGTGCAGCTCTCTGACTGAATTCAAACTTCACAGAACAAATCCCCTTAATAAAAGGATTTGTCCTGTAGAACTTAGACTCATTCAAAAGGCCACACACGAGGACCTAGAAGGCCACATGTGGCCTCAAGACCACAGGTTCCCCACCCCTGGTTAGGGGAAAAGTTAATAAGTTCACTTGTTACATATGGACAACTTTGAAAGACTTGAGAACTCTGATTAATGCAATGACCAATCATGATTCTAGGAAGCCAATGATGAAACATGCTACCCGTCTCCTCAAAGTGTAGATATGGACTCAGAGAACAGAATGAGACTTTTTTTGGGGGGGGGGGGGGACATGGGCAATTCAAGAATTTGTTTTACTTGTCTATGCTTATGTTACAAGAATTTTCTTTTTCTTCTTCTTTTTTCCCAACTGAAGCAGGTAGGAGAGTAGGGAAGAAGGGAGATAATTTTGTTGTTGTTAATTAAAAAAAATGAAATTATATTAAAAAAGAAATAAACCAAGTAGAAAAACCAGATGTGTTTTATTGTAAACACATATGAACTTCCTTTTTTAAAAGTGTGTTTCCTCCCACACGTACAAAAATATTTATAGCAGCTCTTTTTGTGGTGGCAAAGAATTAGAAATTGAGAGGATGCCCATCAATTGGGGAATAGCTGAACAAGCTGTGGTATATGAATGTAATGGAATACTATTGTGCTATAAGAAATGATGAACAGGTTGACTTCAGAAAAACCTGGAAAGACTTGTATGGTCTGATGCTGAGTGAAGTGAGCAGAACCAAGAGAACGTTGTACATAATAACAGCCACGTTGTATGATGACTAATATTGATAAACTTAACCCTTCCCAGCAATACAAGGATCTAAGACATCTCCAAAGGCCTCATGATGGAAAATGCTATCTACATCCAAAGAAAGAACTATGGAATTTGAATGCAGATCAAAGCATACTATTTGCTATTTTTTTTTCTCCTGTTGAGTTTTGTTTCCTCTTTTGGTGGTTCTTCTGATGGGTTCTAATTCTTACTTACAACATCACTAATGTGAAAATGTGTTTAATAGGAATGTATATGTATAGCCTATATCAGATTGCGTGCTGTCTTGGGGAGGGTGGTGGGGAGGAAGGGGGAAGAAAAATTTTAAACTCAAAAGCATATGGAAGTGATTGTTAATAAATCAAAATAAATTAATAAAAAAAAGGAAATGGCAAAAAAAGTGTTTCCTCCCTTCTATAATGTATGTGTGTGTGTGTGTGTGTGCGTGTGTGTGTGTGTGTGGGTGAGAGTATGGACACATACACACACATATATAACTACATATGTTATCTTCTTATTAGATTGGGAATCATTAGTTTTATATAAATGTATGCTACATTTAAGAGATATATACACACAATGTAGAATGTAAATAGTTGTGAAAATGCAATTTCTATGTTTTCCAAACACCTTAGTCATAATGAACTAACTATTTTGGCGGGGGGGTGGAGGAGAGGGAGTCAAAGAGGCATAACCATCTTGATTTTTCCTTATAGGTATAAACATTCCCAGGGTTTGTTATATATGGTTTTAATTTTTACCTAAAAGCATAATATTAACAGTATTACTTAACAGTATTAATAGTGTTTCTTCCTTATTGAATCTAACATGGTGGAATCAATGCTACCCTATATCTCTCTGTCCCCTTCTAGACTTCCTTTGCTCTCTCCTTTGTGTTTTTAATGGTTTCATTGATGTTCTTTTCTGCCTTTTCTATTTGTTTTGCATCATCACTACCCCCACTTTTCCCCAAAACTCTACCACTCTCAGAGAAAGGCCCTCACTTCTAAGTATAATTAAGCAAGACAAATTTGTGTCTGTATTGCTCCCACCTAAAAATATGTCTCACTGACACTATCACCTCCCTGCCAAGAGGGATGAATCATTCTTCCTCATAAGGCTTCTCTAGTCCTAATTCATCATTGCACTGATCAGAGTTCTCAATTCTTTCAAACTTGTTTTCCTTTATAACATTATAGTCACTGTACATTGTTCATTTGGTTGCTGATTCTTGGTATCCCAATGAAGGTTTTGGCCCTTTTCTTCCTGAAAAAGATCTCCAATCTTTATTTGGCTCTGTTCCTTGCTGTGGCCCTGACAGGCCCAACCAGGCATTAATTGTGGATTCTCAAGGAAGATTCCTGTGTTTATGCTGCCCAGGCACTGCCCTATCTCTTACTGCCACTCTGACACTGACTTCTATGGCACTGTGGCATCATTCTCCTCTTGTTTATCTCCAGTTCATGTCTACATTTTGTGAAGTTCTGGACTGGATAGGATCATGAGATTTTAGGGTTAGAGCTTGAAGAGGACTTTAGAGTTGTTTCACTCTGGTTTGTTTTTTTTTTTTTTAATCATTATTCCTTCTGGTACTTCTTTTAGAATTTTGCTAGGTTTCTCTAGCACCTTTCCTGTATAATCATAACCTTAAATACTTCCACATTTTTTAAACTGAGAAAAAAAATCTTATACTTCCTACTTTAAAAATCAGTGGACCAGTTGAAATTCACAGCATTATAGTAAGAAAAACAGAGGAGGAGAAGTACAGAAATTGAAATTCCAGTCACAGCTCTACCATCAACTAGATGACCTCTGGTTAGCTGTTTAACTTTTCTTTTTTTCTTCTTATTAGCAAAAACTCAATTTATTCAAGTGGGATAGCAAGAACAGTAGTTACAAAACATTCAACCTTTTCCCCCTCTCCCCCAAACCCTGGAGTACAATCTTCCACAAATATACTCAAGAGTGAAGGAGGACAGCGGGCATAAACTTCAAGAATAATGTACACTTTCAGAGAGCCCATATTGCCAAGTAAACACAACTCTTGACACGCAAAGCCTCGATGTCCTTGCTGTTTAACTTTTCTGGTCTATTTCCTTCATTTGTGAAAGGAGAGGATCCAAACAGATCATCTTTAAGAACCTTCCCATTTTTACAATTTTATGATTATATGACAGTGAAAATTTGGAATCACAAAACGTTTTTATGCAATTAAATGTTAAAAACTTGACTTCTCAGGAGATTGAATAACATTTCTGACTAGAATTAAATCCTTAGAAGGTCCTGTAATTCCTTTATTAAATGGAGAAGTATCACATCAATTAACATTCTTTGTATGTAATCAAGTCCTATTTCCAAAGTAGTTAAAATTGACTGAAATTAGTGAAAGCAAATTGTTAAACCTTCAGTGTGTGTATTTTTATGTTAGAAATAGGTGAGTATACAAATTTGGGTTTGATTTATTATTTTAATGACTGTCTAGACTTAATAAAGTGATCGAGAAAATGTCAATAATATAGATTACACTTAAAAGTAGGTTTTGTCAGAGATCCAATTAAGCCTACCCTTGGCTGAAATATGTGTTCCATATTTACACTACTGAGTTGCTTAGTAAACAGTTTTTCCATAGATGATAGAATAGTAAACTTCAGGGACACATGTCCAGCAAGTTCCAAATTAATTCCTGAAGTTTCCCAGAAGCTACTGAATATTCAAAGGCAGCTAGATATTGCAGTGGACAGAGCACCGGCTTAGGAGTCAGGAGGACTTGAGTTCAAATCTGATGTCAGACACTAGCTGTGTGACCCAGGGCAAGTCACCTAACCCCCACTGCCTCTGTTTTTTGTTTTTTTTTTTTCCTCTGTAAAATGAGTTGGAGAAGGAAAAGCAAAACCACTCCAGCATCTTTGCCAAGAAAACCCCAAACGGGGTCAAGGAGAGTTGGATACAATTGAAACAACTCAACAACAACAAACTGAATCATCAGAAGTGCATTAGACACCTTGATGTCCTAGAGGAGAGGATAATTTGATTGACATCATTTAACAAGTGTCATAACTTTCATATTATACATCATTTGAACAAGGGTTATCATTCTAATCTTGTAGCTGAATAAAAATAAATTGCCTAAACTCATAAGTGACAGAGTGGCCAAACGACGATATAAAAAACAAAAGCTTCCACTCTAAACCTGACCTTTCAGCCTCTTATTTCATACCACCCTCCTAGAGTAATGGCAACACTTCCCGTACAGCTGCCTCTCCTGTCGACCTGGAGCAGTCGCAGTAACAGTAATGCTGGTGGGGGGTCAGGGGCAGCTGTTCTCTGATTTTTCCTTAGTGCTTTAAGGTTTGACAACCACCTCATGTACATAATCTCATGGTTCTCACAACAGTCGTATGAACAATTACTACAATTACTATTATCCCCATTCTCCAGAGGAGGAAACTAAGGCTTGGTGGGAATTGCCAAGGATCACGCTATCAGTAAATATAGGAGTTAGGATTTGAATCTAGATTTTCTTAATTTCACATCCAGTGTTCTTTCCACTAAATGCCATGCTGATACCTCTGAAAACAAATATGCCCAAATCTTCTCTGACACATGAGAAGATTGGTGCTGTTCAATTGTTTTAGTTGTGTCTGTTCTTTGTGACCCCATTTGGGGTTTTCTTGGTAAAGATACTAGAGTGGTTTGCTATTTCCTTCTCTGGATCATTTTACGGATGAGGACACCGAGGCAAACAGGGTTAAGTGACTTGCCCAGGGTCACACAGCTAGTAAGTATCTGAGGCCAGACTGAACTCATAAAGACAAGTCTTCTTTACTCTAGGCCCAGCGCTGTATCCAATGTGCTACCTTGAAGATAAAAATATGCTTAACAGAGAAGATAAATAATCTATAAGTTAGATATCATTTAAATACAGTTTTCATAAACCACTCTACTTTAATAAAACTGAATAAGAAGAGGATTACTGACCTGATTTCTTTACCCCATAGGGTAGTGCAATCTTATCACTTTCATGAAGAGTAGATATTGTTTTTAAATGACTTGCACACATGAAAGGATATATTCCTTGAAAACTGAGGAAGTAAAAAAAAGTTTGATTTTATTAAATACTATAACAGCTTAATAAAGTCACCTTATAATATCTACATTGTATTACTTTGCTGTGCTTGAGTCAACAAGTCAAATCATTTCTTAAGTTCTTACTATGGGTCAGGCAACTTCGGCTTAGTATAGTTTTAAGCTATTAAAGCTTAATATTTTAAGGCTTTAATATTAAAAGTTAATTTTAGATATGCAATTAATATGATAGTGAAAATTATTACTATCAATTATTATCAATAATAAAATATTACAGATTTGATATAATATTAAAGTATTAAAATTAAAGTTTTTATTAAAGAATTAATAGTTTTAAACTGCATTAAGACTTTTGGGACAACCTGTATATAAACTTTATTATATTTTGTACAAATGTCTGCATACATATGCAAATATATACACATATATGCATGTATACACACATTTAAGCTATGAGGTTAGATGATTCCTGCCAAATCAAAGAGGATTAGTGCTAGGAATAATATATGCAACCAGTCAAAGAAATTATGACTATGATTCACATAGAATGAGTTCAGACCATGATATTGTTATAATAAAGGTTAAAATATCAAATTAAAAGGAAGGATAAAGATTATAGCATATGGCCCACGGTTAGACCCTCTCCAACATGGTGTATTCCAACAAGTTATTGACGATGAATTATGGGTAAATAAAAATATATTGATGTGGATTATCAATTTTTTTTATGGAGGTTTAGTGGATATAAAGCAACTAGCACAGTAAGGAGGTCAAAAGAGCCCAGAAATCGTATTCTTACAAAACAGAAAAACCATGGCAGTCAAGTACAACAGATGTGGATTAAAAACTCAACTGCAAAATGTTACAGATGAGAAAGGTTAGAAGCAGCATTGTCTAAAAATAGTGAGAAGGACTGAAAGGGGAATCATTCAAAGAAAATCTGATATGAGATCAAATTAAGCCATATCATACCAAGAATATTAAAGATGGAATGAGGAGAATAAGCAAAAAGCAGAACAGCTCTGATATAATTTTTCTAACAAACTATTAGCTTTACTAGTTAGAGCAAAACTATAACATTTAGCCTTAATAGAGAAGGATGAAGAGTTGAACTAAGTAAACTATTCAACATCACAGTAACACAATACTATGCTCCAACAACTGATGCCAAAATTGACCAGTTCTATGAAGACCTACATCTTCGAAAAATAGGACCCCATATGGGATTGGAATGGAAATCAAAAGATTACAGGCAAGTTTGGCCCTAGAATACAAAATGAAGCAGGGCAGAGACTAACTTTTGTCAAATTAACTCTCTGGCCATAACAAACGGTCTTTTTCAACAACCCAAAAGGCAACTCTACACATGGATATCACCAGAGGGTTAATATAAAAATCAGATTGATTATATACTTTACAGTCAAAGGTGGAGAAACTCTACACAGGCAGTTAAAGTAAGACCTGGAACTGATTGTGGCTCAGATTCACAAGCTTTTTATTGGAAAATTCAGACTCAAATTTTAAAAAGTAGGGAAATCCATCAGACCACATAAGTATGACTTAAATAACATTCCTTACGAATATGAAGTGGAAGTGACAAATAGATTTAAGGTATTAGATCTGGAAGATTGAGTGCCTAAAGAACTACGGACAGAGGTTTGCAATATTGTACAGGAGGCACCAACAAAAAACATCCCAAAGAAAAAGAGCAATAAAGCAAAATGGCTATCTCATGAGGCTTGGCAAATAGCTGGTGAAAGAAGGAAAGTGAAAGACAAAGCAGACATGGAAAGATATACCTAAGTGAATGCAGAATTTCATAAAGTATCAAGGAGAGATACAAAGGTTTTCTTAAATGAGCAATGGAAAGAAATAAAACAATAGAATGGAAAGATAAGGGATCTCTTCAAGAAAATTAGAGACATCAAAGGAATGTTTCATGCAAAAACAGCCATGATAAAAGAAAAAAAAAATGGTATGGACTGAACAGAAGTAGAGGAGATTAAGAAAAGGTGGCGAGAATATACAGAACTATACAACTATACAAAAATGATCTCAACATCACCAGTGTTTACTAATCTAGAGCCATACATCCTGGAGAATGAAATCAAGAGAGCTTTAGGAAGCGGTGCTAACAATAAGGCTAGCAGAAGTGATGGAATTCCAGCTGAGCTATTCAAAACCCTTAAAAGATGATGCTTCACCAAACACGCCAGCAAATTTGGAAGACTCGGCAGTGACCACTGGATCAGAAAAGGTCAATTTATGTTCCAATCCTAAAGAAGGGCAATGCCAAAAAATGTTCAAATTACTGAACAACTGTACTCACTTCGCATACCAGTAAAGATATGCTTAAGAACCTGTTCAGCAATATATCAACTGAGAATTACCAGAAGTGCAGGCAGATTTTCAGAGAGGCAGAGGAACTAGAGTCCAAGCCAACATCCACTGGATTATGGGGTAAGCAAGGGAGATCCTGAAAAACATCTACTTCTGTTTCACTGGCTACACTAAATAAGCCTTTGACTGGGAAACAATTTTTACTACCAGTGTTTATGATAAAGGCTTCATTTCTAAAGTATATAAAGAATGGAGTCAATTTTATAGGAATACAAGTCATTGCTCAATTGATAAATGGTCAAAGGATATGAGCAGGCAGTTTTCAGATGAAGAAATTAAAGCTATCTATAGTCATATGAAAAAATGCTCTAAATCATTATTGATTAGAGAACTACAAATTAAAACAACTCTGAGGTACCACTTCACACCCTATCAGATTGGCTAATATGACAAAAAAGGAAACTGATAAATGGAGGAGAAGACGTGGGAAAATTGGAATACTAATACATTGTTGGTGGAGTTGTGAACTGATCCAACCATTCTGGAGAGTAATTTGGAACTATGCCCAAATGTCTATAAAACTGTACATACCCTTTGACTCAGCAATACCACTTCTAAGTCTGTATCCCAAAGAGATCAAAGAAAATGAAAAGGGACTTATACATTACAAAAATATTTATAGCTCTTTTTGTGGTAGCAAAGAATTGGAAATGGAGGGGATGTCCATCAATTGGTGAATGATTGAACTTGTAGTGTATGATTATAATGGAATACTATTTTGCTATAAGAAGTGATGAGCAGGATGGTTTCAGAAAAACCTGGAAAGTCTTACATGAACTGATGCAAAGTGAAGTGAACAGAAGTAGGAGAACATTGTACATATTAAGAACAATACTGTAATGACGAAGTCTGAGTACAGATAGCGTATAATTTTTTCACTTTATTTTTCTTGCTTTGTTTTTTGCAATATGGCCAAAATGGAAACAGGTGTTGCATGATTTCACATGTAAAATTGACATCATATTGCTTGCCTTCTCAGTGGGTGGGGGAGAGACTGAAGGGAAGAAAATAATTCAAAATTTAAAAATTTTTAAAAAGAATGTTAAAAATAAATTATAAATTTATTTAGAAAAAAAAGAACTGGGAGAATGATCTAAATACAACACCCTCATTTTAAATATGAGAAAGTGGAATTAAAGTTAAAGGGTTTGCCCAAGGTCACATACGACAGGGCCTCGATTCAAACCAGTCTTCTCATTCCAAATCCAGCTTGTGAAAGATTTCCTGTTCCCTACTTCAACCTTCATCAAAGACATCCTCAATCTATATGTGGATTGTTCTCATAAAACTTCATATATGTGAGAAAGTAAATTTGGTAATAATGGATATTTTCTTTACAGATTTTTCATCATTAATATAGTCAAATATTTTTTCCATGCCTTTGGTATCTTCCATGGCTTCAAATACTTTGTGAATCATTCCATGGTGTCCTTCAATGCCAGGTAACTTCTAGCATAGCTCTTTTCTATGTATACTTGGTCTAATACTGTTGCTTTCCCCATCATTTTTTTCTTTAGTATCCCCCCTACCTTTCCCGTCTCAGTACATCTTATCCTCCCATCCCCTCCCTCACCTGCTCTTTGTTTTGTGTTTTTTTTTGGACTAGGCAATGGGGCTAAGTGACTTGCCCAAGGTCACACAGCTAGTAAGTGTTAGGTGTCTGAGGCCAGATTTGAACTCAGGTCCTCCTGAATCCAGGGCCGGTGCTCTATCCACTGTGCCACCTAGCTGCCCCCTCACCTGCTCTTTGATACACTCTCAAACAAGACATCCTTTCTCTTGTCCAGGCATTTTCACTGCCTAGTCCCTATACCTGGAATGACGTTCCTCCTCACCTTTTCCTCTAGGCTCCCCTGGCTTCCCCTAAGTCCTAGCTAAAATCTCATCTTCTGCAGGAAGCCTTTCTTGATCTCTTTGAATTCTAGCACCTTCTGTTGATCATTTCCAGTTTAATCCTTATATAGCTTGTTTGTATATAGCTGTTTGCATGTTGTCTCCTCAATTATAATGGGAGGTCCTTAATATCAGGGACTGTCTTTTGCTCTTCTTTGCATCCCTAGTGCTCAGCACAGGCCTGGCACAGAATAGGGGTTCAATAACTGACATGTTGAGGACCGTGATGTTTCAGACCAGTTGTGTTTGGCTCCATTTTCACTGATGGTGTAAAAATTTTGTTATAAGAATCTTAGCCAATCTTTCCAATGTTTCTTGTATTTAGTGTTCTCCCTTCATTTTTATCCTTGAATACTGGTAGGCTGATTTTGCTTAGATGGGTCTCTTGGAATATAATATTACAAATGACTGCTAAGCTCCTTTGTTTTGCTTAAGTTTCTCTTTTGTGGGTGGGAGGATTCACTGGGAAGGAAAAGCAATTTTTAAAAAGTATCAAAACATTTATTTAAAAAATTTGAGGGGGCAGGTAGGTGGCACAGTGGATACAGCACTGACTTTGGAGTTAGGAATTCAAATCCAGCCTCAGACACATAACATTCACTAGCTGTCTGACTCTAGGCAAGTCACTTAACCCCAATTGCCTCACCAAAAAAAAAAAAACAATCAAACAAAAAAAAATTTGAAAGTGGGATGAATAAGAAGTATGGATAACTGACCTTTAAATGAAGGGAAAAACACAAAACTGAAGTTTCCAGCCACTTTATACTATTTTAATCTTTAGAGTAGGGAATTTTTCATCACTACTTATTTTAGGTTCACTATACAGATATAACAGAGTTAAGGTGAATAAAGGAAGGAAAGGGCTACTTTTTATTTATAGATTCATTATATTTCCTTATACTTTTAGGCAGATTAACTAACATTTATACAAAGTGTAGGCTACTACACAATGAAAATCAGGGCAACTTTCTAAGCTTGAAAGTTAATCTCTGAAAGCAAGAAAAAGAAGAGGCAAATTAGGGAATAACAGAACATCAGAGAGAAATTTTTTTTTTAAAAAGAGAAGCTGCCATATGGTTGACCTTTTCATCGACAATCCTGTCTAACCTCACTTAGGCAAACCGACACTAATTTCAGAGTTCTTTGGAAGAACTCTCTTTCTAACACTAAGAAGCAACAGGATATTCAGGCTTTCCCTTGTGTATGTCTGATTGACAGTGTTACAATGAATGTGACTATTTTTTGTCTTTGCTTTAAAACAAAGGAACACGAGAAAAATGGCTTTGAGACAAAACAGCGACAACACCCCACATTTCCCTTTTGATTTTTACCTCAGTAGAGACTCAAAAGCAGGTTTCAGTGGACAAGACAGCACTGGCGACCTTTTCATTTCTGTAACTCGAAGCCTATGAGACAAAAACAGGAAATAATTGATTGACTGGTGGCTTGCCAAAAGGAAAACAAATCCTTCTGTAACTTCAGTAGCTTCTCTTAGAATTAATTATTTTGCCCACCCCAGACCTATGATTTTATTGTTGTAAGGAGCTCTCTCCAACAACGCAGATAAGTAATAATGCTGCTTCCTATTAGTGTAGATGGCTCCAATTCCAAGCATCTGGGGACATGATTAAAATATAATTGGGAAATATTTAACAAAATCAATAAAAACACAATAGAATGAAGATAACATTAACTTGTGGCTAAGTCAACAAATGGCTAGCGGTGATTACTATGTATAGTCCTAGTGCTCCCTGTTTCTATTTGAGTTTGACACCACTGGCCTGGAGCAGTACCAAGAAATTAAGTAATTTACCCAGGTTCACACAGGCCATTCTATATAAAAAGCGGGATTTTAACCCATGCCCTGAATATGAGGCCAGCTCTGTTACACTCTGCTTCTGTAGGTTTCCTGCAGAAGGTGGGGTTTTAGTTCAGAGAAAGAGTGGCCTGAAGACCACAAGCTGATGGAAAATGAAGAAGAGTCAGGAATATAATAAAAATTGGGGAACAGAGGACAAAAATAAATCTCATTCATTTGGTCTCAAATCAACACTCAAGAATAGAACTGAGGTTCCCACCTTCAAAAGAAAAAATGTGCCTCTTCTGGCTGGACTGAGTTTGACTGAAAAATTTTTGAAGAATTACCAAATCTCCAGGTGGAAAGGATCTCATTGGTCAGCCAATTCTGCTTCTACCTCCTAATGGAAGTGGGCCAGTCCCACTGAGGCCCTGAGATACCTCGACGTACTGTAAGGACTGCCAGGCCTTGCCATCTGCCGTAAAGGTGTGCCCTCCTGAATGTCTCTCTCGATTGAAATGTGAGCTCATAGACAGCAGGAACTGCCTTCTACAGCTGTCATATATAGATATAAAGATCCCATATCTTTATCTACCCCCAGCACTTAGCACAGTGTTTGGGACATAGTAAGTGCTTAATAAATGCTTCTCCCTCCCCTTCAATCAGCCCTACTAAAAGCATGAATCCCTGGGGAGGTGGTCATCAAGCATCTACAGACTGGATGTCTATCCAGTGATAGGGAACTCATTATCTTACAAGGTCATCCAGTTTGAGACAGGACTCATTGGTAGGAAGCTTTTCCTTTTATTCATTTCAACCAAAATTTGTCTCTGCAAAGTCTAATCCAGAAATGGTCTGGATTATTATTGCTGTTATTGCTGCTGTTTGTAATAGAGATTGAAGAAGGAAATAAAATGAAAATTTAAAAATCCTGCAGTGACTTAGCAGAGAGAAAGAGCTGCTGGCCAGGTGCTTTATCTCAAGGTCTTTCTTCTGAGAAGTGTCTCTGGATCCTTGTGTGTGCTTTGAGACTTGAGGTTAGGGAATTTGACAGCTTTGAGGGAAGGAAGGCAGTTGAGGTGGTATTTCAAAGAGAAAAAAAAAGAACAAAAAGTAGTTGTAGGGTTATGGCAGAAGAATGAGGCAAGAAAAAAGAAGGTGTTGAAGACTCTCTTCTGGAATTCCCAAGACTAATTTTTTTAATTACTTGTTTAGGTTCTGGAGTATGTGCACAGGATGGTGAAAGGTCTAGAGACCATGCCCATACTGAATTCTATTCAATTAACATTTATTAGGCCTACTATGGACAATGTACTATGCTAGGGAATGTAAGACAATGATGACAAAAATGAAATAGTTTCTGACCTCAAGGGGCTTGACATTCTACTGAGGGAACATAACACATGCAAATCAGTATAAGACAAGAGAAACTGTGGAGGAAAAGAGCACTAAAAATTGAGGCCAGAGGTCCTAGAAGACTTCATGAAGAAAGAGGCACCAGAGCTTGACCCTGAAGAAAGACAGGAATTATTAGAAGCAAAGATGGGGAGGAAGGGTATTACAGGCAGGTCTGGGGAGAAAGGCAAAGGCAGATGTGAAAGGAGGAGCCTCAGGGTCTGTCAGAAACTAGTTATCCAGGGTTTGTTTGCTCTTTGAGGGGGGCAGTGAGGCAATCAGGGTTAAGTGACTTGCCCAGGGTCACACAGCTAGTAAGTGTTATGTGTCTGAGGCCAGATTTGAACTCAGGTCCTCCTGACTCCAAGGCCAGTGCTCTATGCACTGCATCACTTAGCTGCCCCTAGTTACCCAGTTTGGCTAGAAGGCAAAGGTCATGGGAGTGAGCAGTCAGCGGAAATTAGGGATAGAGAAGATGTGGAAGTCAGACAGGAGAGGACTTTAAAAGCCAAAATAAAGAAAGTAGGCTTCATCCTGTCAGCAATGCGGAGTTACTGAAGGATTCTGAGCAAGGGACAAACACGGCCAGACTCAGGATTTAGGAGGATTATTTTGGCAGCCATGTAAAGACATAGTGAAGGAAGGAGAGACTGGAAGATGGGAAAATGATTTAGAAGCCTTTTCCAATAGTCCAGGGGAAAGGGGATGAATTCCTTAACTAGGGTGCTGGCCATGCAAGTGGAGAAAAGGGGACCAATTTGGTGGCTGTAGAATGGATAATAGTAGGCAACTGATTCATGTGAGGGCAGGAGAGTCAAGGATGACTCCTCAACAGAAATACTAAAGCCTAAGGTCAGGAAGGCAGCTAGGAGGCTCAGTAGATAGAGCACTGGGCCTGGAGTCAGGAAGACCTGAGTTCAAATCCAGCATCAGATGCTTACTATCTGTGTGACCCTGGGCAAGTCACTTAACCTCTGTTTTTCTCAACTGTAAAATGGGGAGCTTAGAGAAGAAAACAGCAAACTACTTCAGTATCTCTGCCAAGAGAAGCCATAAAAAATGGGGCCACGGAGAGTTGGACCCGACTAATACAACTTAACAACAACAAACAACAAGGTTAGGGTAGCTTTACAAGGATAGAAAGAATGTACAAAATGATGAATCAACAGTGAAGGTTGAAGAAAGACAGATTTAGGCCGGGCTCACAATTGAATGTAGGGGGGAAAGGGAAAAAAAAAACAAAACAAAACGTTGTAATAATTAGAGTTGACCAAAAGTAGAATGGGAGGTGGTAGGCTCCCACTGATTGAAGTCTCTAAAATAAAGGCCAGATGGCTACTTTGTCAGGTTTGATGTGGACTTGGTTTTTCTCTGGGGAAGGGTTGGGCTAGATGACCACTGGGCTGTCTTCCAGTTCACAGATTCTGCTGTGGTTCCTTTACTACAAGGTAATTTGAAAGGAGAGACTCGATCAGACTGAGGGCCAGGAGGCTGGGGTCGGATTTTGTGTTTGGCTTGTGAAATCCCAGCTGTGCCTCAGAGCTACTGTTAGGATCCATCCTGAGCCTTATTCCAGCTTTATGGGGGGATCCCTTCTCCAACCAAACTTAGAAGCCCAACACTGGAATTGGTTTTGGCATACCCCATCTAAAATAGTATGGCAGAGTGAAAAGGTGGATGGAGGGAAAAAGGAGGGATCTGCACAGGGAAGGAGCATTTGACTGGGAAACACTAATACAACTTGGATGTATATAGCCGTGTTCTGGTGCCAGCTTTAATTGGTTAGTGAGAACCAATTGTTAAATTTTCAGTGTGAGAATTTACACCTCAAAAATCAGCAAATGCTACAAATCAGGGGTTGATTTACTGCTTTGTTAATTAAGTGATGAGTAAAATGTTAATGATGTGAATTAAACTTAAAAGTGTGCCCTATGTATATTTTTGCCCCAGAGAGCCAGTTGTTTAAACATTTATCAGAACACCCCTGTAATATTTAACATAAGTATCAATGATGAATCAATAAATTTCCTTCTCTACCTCTATCCCTGTTCTGTTATCTCCCACATCTCAGAAGAGATCCCAGCACGGGGTCCTTCTTTCTGGAAGAGTTCTTAATGATTCACAAAGTACATTTCCTTCTCTTTCTACCTAAGAAGCTTTTAGGTTGGCACCTAAGGAAGTGAGGAACTAAATGCAGAAGCACAGCCTAAATGTATCATTAGTTTTCAAATACAAGCTAAAGAAGAACTAGTTAGGACTTGATGCTGAACCAAAGAGCTTGCATTAGCGCTTCTTTTCATGCAAAAGGAAACTAGCATTTAATTGATTTCGACTTAATCGTCAAGGTCACATGCTCTGTATTTTAAAGGGTCATTGAAAGCTATTTTTAATCACAGTTCTCTGGGCATGAGGATGGGAAAAAAATGCTACCCAAACTAATGCTGGAATAGAAAATTCTCTCTGGGGAAGTTTTCAATCTATCAAAAGTGCACATAAATATTAAAAGTCTTCAATATGTGATGTTTCAAAGAAGTCTCACTGTATAAAAATAATTTTGTATAAAACGGAAAAACAATATTCATGAAATATCTGAAGCCCCATGCATTACATAAATATTGCAGTTTCATCAGCCTAAACATCATGGGTTTCCAAAAGGAATTTTGAAGTGGAGACAAGCCACTTATTTATCCTTATTATTATATCGAAATATGTACTACTCAGTTTTTCAACATAAAGTTGTCAACATTTAATTCAGGTTTCAGGGATGAAAACATCATTTGAGACGAATTTAGTTTAGTTTTTGACTCCCACCAACACCACAAAGTCAAAGAAGCCACTCCTCCATTAGCTCCATTAAGCCTGGAGCAATAGCAGCAAAGTATAATCTGTACCTAGGGCAGCTAGGTAGCACAGTGGATAGAGCTGGCAGGCTTGGAATCTAAAAGACTCATCTTCATGAGTTCAAATCTAGTTTCAGGCACTTGCTAGCTATGTGACCATGGGCAAGTCACTTAACCCTGTTTGCCTGAGTTGTCTCATCTGTAAAAACGAGCTGGAGAAGAAAATGGCAACCCCCTCCACTATATTTGCCAAGAAAACTCCAAATGAAGTCATAAAGAGTTGGACATGACTGAAAAAGAGTCAACAACAAATAATCTACAACATAAAGAGCTGAGGCTACACCTTCTTTTGTAACCAATAATATCTTGTCATAATTTTTTACAAAGCTTATTCACATACATTATGAATCATTATAACAACTCTGTATGGTAGACATTGCAATTATTATTATACCTACTTCACAGAGAAAGAAGTTGAGACTCAGAGAGATTAAATGATTTGCAACTCTTTTTTAAAAAATTTTTTTTAAATATATATTTTTTTATTTTTATTTATTTATTTAGGCAATTGGGGTTAAGTGACTTGCCCAGGGTCACACAGCTACTAAGTGTCAAGTGTTTGGTCTGAGGCTGCATTTGAACTCAGGTCCTCCTGGCTTCAAGGCTGGTGCTCTATCCACTGCGCCACCTAGCTGCCCCATGTACCACCTAGCTGCCCCATTGCAACTCTTACAGCTACATAAGAAGGAATGCTAAGAATTGTATCTTGGTCTCCTGATTCTAAATCCCATGCTCTCCCCATGATACTATTACTCCTGTACTATCTCTCTTCCCACCACACCACACTGCTTCTTGCTTTTTTAAAAAGAAAGTCTGTTGAAATACAAGACTCTATTAAGTAAATGTAATATCTTCAGTGGACTTACTTCCACAGGAGAGCTAGAATGTTTTTATTACAATTAATATATGCATGGGTGTGACGAGAGATTCAGGAAGTCCCTGATGATATTTATCTCTACAAAAACCTCAGTTCAACATATATTTACAATAAATTAACCAATCAGGGTGTTTTTATTTCAACAGAAAAATAAAACTTACCAACTGATATGATTCTCTCTCCACAAAATGCAATGAAGTACATAAGAGAGAAAGACACAACTCAGAATTATGAACACCAGGTATCGTCTCATTGCTAGCAAACCTGAAATTACAATACATGGAGTTATATATTTGGTAAAGCTATAGGCCTGAGAGAAAAAAAAAGAGAATCGTGGTTATTACACAAATACAGGGCATACAAAGGAAGAAATAACAATGAAGAGATGTATACATCACAGAAATGTCAAGGAAAGAGGAAACATGAATTTTTCATCATGTGATAGAAAGCAAATTATACAGAAAATTCACTACAAGTTTCCTATATTTGGAGAAAAACACATCTCATGGAATGATGTGTTCATAGTAATCGACATAGGGTTCCATATGTGGAACTCTAAACTAGAGGAGAGTGTAGACTGATCAAATTATGACTGCTACTAATTAGCTGTGTGACCTTGGACAAATCAGTGCTCCTCTCTAGACCTCGCCTTTCTCACCTGTAAAGGACTAGATGCATTCTAAATTTCCTTCCAGGTCGAATGTTCGATGAGTTTGTGATTCACATTCAAAAATTATTCTCTTTCCACAAAGAGTTAAAGAAAATCTATCTTTCTCTTTCTAAATATGGGAAATGAGTGAGTCTTCCATTGTAAAAAGTATTTTCTTATTTATGAGCTTGATATGATTCTTTAAAAAGCTAATTTTATAATTTGTTCCTTTCTAAGTTTCTACTTAAATATAATTTAAAGATTTAAAACACAATAGGAAAGGAAACTACTGAAAACATTTCCAATGTCTAGAATTAAATTTTTCATAATTTTAAATGTCGCTATTTCTTAGATGATGATGATGCCTGACAGCTACAGTGCTGGGCCTGGATCAGGAAGACCCGAATCCTCCTAGCTGTGTGATCCTGGTCAAGTCATTAAATCTCTGCCTACTTTTAGTTTCCTCAGCTGTAAAATGAGCCTAAAAAAGCACCTGTCTTCTCAGGGTTGTTTTAAGGATCAAATGAGATATTGTAAAGTGCTTAGCACCGCGCCTGGTACATAATAAGTACTTAATAAATGCTTATACATTTGACAATACCTGATTACTTTAAGGTTTGTAAAGTACTTTACAAACATCTCATTTAGTCAATAGATGTACCTATTATCATACATTTTTCCAGAAAAATATAAATGTAAAAAACTAAACAGCACATCAACATTCCAAAAATAAGTAAGAACTTTTAAAAGTTCCAATTTTACATCTAAGTAAACTAGTGCAAATTAGTTAACATATTGTATGACAAATACACTGTGGTTAGTGTTACTCTTAAATTCTAATAAAAGACCAAGAGAATCTACCCAAAGAGCACTGGGCTTAGAGTGGAAAGACCTGGTCTCAGGTCCCATCTTGGTCCTTATTACATTTCATGGGGCCTTGGCCAAATCATTTCACTACCCTAAGCCTGTTTCCTCATTTGTAAAATCAAGGCTGAATGAAAAAGTTTCAAAGTAGGTGCCAATCTGACACACACACATATATATAACCATGATGAAAACATTAATATGATGGGTGGACAAAGTGTCTCAAAACATGGCATCATTGATAGTGTTACTTAAGAGTTATTTTTCAACTAGTGATCGACTGAAAGTGATAGTTTGTCTTTATAACAGTTATTGCAAAAAATCCCTATTTTGCAAAGACTAGATGTTATGGATGGTACTAAAAAAATCATATCACTTTGATACACCAGAGAACTTTCTATTCACATGGAGACAAAAAAAACGTGTAAGATTTCCGGTTCAAATGCTTGCTTCATGGTACTATCACAAGCTAAATCTATTCACTGTTCAGGTTCAGATGGCATAAGATCAAATGTATCATGTGTATCTATACTAAATAGGATATATATATATATATAGTTTTTTACATTTGGAATATCCAGATCTTAAAAAGAAAATGATAACTGCTTCTATTGACCAGTCCAGGAATTAATTTTTCAGGGAAGAATTTTTTAAATTGGAAAACATAAATATTATTTTGCAAAGTTATGATATACAACTTGAACTTGAACTTTTTTCAAAAATATGACTATATTTATGAATCTTTCTTTTTTCATGACTTTTCATTGTGTTCCAGTGTCCTTTAAGCCTCTCTCCTTTTTTTTTTTAAACATAATTTTATACATTCTTTCCTCCCTTTGTAAAAATGTTGTTTTTTCTGATCCGCTCCCTTTTTTGGTGCCTCACTGCCCCAGTGTGGTTACAGCAAGCATGATCCTTGTGCATATGGATTTAGCTATACACCAAAACCTCACCAAGATGCTCTTATGCCTTCTGATGAAAGCCATCACCAGTATGGCTATCTTTCTACTAGAAGACGTGGAGAGAGCAGGCATTGCTTGTTCTTAGATGATCTATTCAGGAAAGAGGCGTTCTGGCCATAAAACAGTCACTGAAATGGGGCATGATGTAGGATTTGGATGCATTTTTCCATTTTGAGAACTTTCAGGAATGATGAATGGAATATCAATCTTCATATTCATGCTAGGAACCAAGCAGATTTTTCTGTGCCATTTTTCAAGTATTTCTTAATGGAAGAATTTTAAACAAAAATAAGCGTAGAAGCTGAATGCCTTTCTCTATTTTAGCAGCTCTTTCATTGTATTTTTTTTTTGGTAAAAGAAACTGAATATTTCCATTTTTTTAACTTTATATTTGTTATTACACTGTTTTGCCTGTTATTTTTTCTCTTCCTTGCTTCTGATAGATGACTGACATGCTAAAGGAGGCAATAAATATTTTATTTTATAATAAACCAGGCAATATTTATTTACAGATGTTGAAGTAACAGCTTTCTCCTCTCCTCTAGTTTTGAAAGCTTTAAGTCCTAGTGTGTATGCTTAGCCTCTTCCAGATACACGTCACAGAATAATAAAGTTTCAAAAACTGGGAAAGCATCTCAGAGACAACTGAAAGAGAATTTCCTACGTACAAATGGGTTTATCCAGGCTCTCCTTGAAAATCTCTAAGGAATGGGAAGCCACCACCTCTCAAGGCAGACCATTCCATTGTGGGATAGCTCTGATAGGCAGAAAGGTTTTTTGAGTTGAATCTTTCTTATCTTTCTGAATCAGAGGTATATATATTTGGGGATCCTAGCTTGGTTTATTTAAAATACTCAATATTTCCCCCTAATTCAGCGGGCAAGCTACTAGCCCTAGAGGCACCAGTGCAGAAAGTCAGTGTCCAGGACCCTGGACCCCAGTGCAAGAAGCTTGGGACAGTGACCCGTGTATCCCAGGAGCACAGCTCAACTTTTTAAAATAAGCAAAAAACAAAAAAGAGCACTGACTATAAAAAGTTATTATGGTGACAGGGAAGATCAAAACACAAATTCAGAAGGGGACAATAAAGTCAAAATTCCTACTTACGAAATCTCAAAGGGAAACGTGAATTCAGCTCAAGGCCAAAAAGTCCTCTTGGAAGAACTCAAAAAAGGATTTTAAAAATCAAGTAAGTGAGGTAGAAGAAAAGTTTGGAAAAGAAGTGAAAGATATGGAAGAGAATCATGAAAAAGAGTCAAAAGTTTGGAAAAAGCAGTACAAAAATTGACTGAAGAAAACAATTCCTTAAAAAACAGAATTGGCCAAATTGAAAAAAAAAATCCACTGAAGAAAATAACTCCTTTTGAAAGTAGAATTGGCCAAATGGAAAACAAGGTACAAAAGCTAACTGAAGAAAATAATTCTTTAAAAATTAGAGCGCCGGCTCTAGAGTCAGGAAGACCTGAGTTCAAATCTGGCCTCAGACACTTGATCACTTGATACTTATTATCTGTGTGACTCTGGGCAAGTCACTTAACCCCAACTGCCTTGCAAAAAAAAAAATTAAAATTTGGCAAGTGGAAGATAATGACTTCATGAGACAATAAGAATCAGTCAAACAAAATGAATGAAAAAAATAGAAGAAAATGTAAAATACCTTACTGGAAAAACAACTGAGCTGGAAAATAGATCCAGGAGAGATAATTTAATAATTATTAGACTATTTGAAGGCCATGATCATAAAAAGAGCTCAGACAGCATATTTCAAGAAATTATCAAGGAAAACTAACCTGATATCCTAGAACCAGAGGGCAAAATAGTCACTGAAAGAATCCACAAATCACTTCCTGAGAAAGATCCCAAAATGAAAATTCCATGGAATATTGTAGCCAAATTGTAGTACTATCAGGTAAAGGAGAAAATCCTGCAAGCAGCCTGAAAGAAACAATTCAAATATCAAAGAGTAACAGTCAGGATTATACAGGACTTAGCAGCTTCTACATTAAGAGACTGGAGGGCTTGGAATATGATATTCTGGAAGGCAAAATAATTTGGATTACAACAAAGAATCAACTACCCAGCAAAACTGAGCATAATCTTTCAAGGGAAAAGATGGACATTCAATGAATTAGGGAACTTTCAAACTTTCCTGATGAAAAGACCAGAGCCGAACAGAAAATATGATCTTCAAATAAAAGACTCAAGAGAAGCATAAAAAGATACATATTCAAAACAGAGAGAGACACGGAGAGTAAAGGTAAAAGTGTGGAGCAGAACATAAGCAGACGTAGCAATCCTGATCTCAGACAAAGCAAAAGCAAAAACAGATCTAATTACAAGAGACAAAAAATGAAATTACATCTTGCTAAAAGGTACTATAGACATTGACCCAGCAATACCACTTCTAGGGCTATATCCCAAAGAGATCACACAAATGGGAAAAGGACCCACATGTACAAAAATATTCATAGCAACTCTTTTTGTGGTGGCAAAGAATTGGAAATTGAGAGGATGCCCATCAACTGTGGAATGGCTGAGCAAGTTGTCGTATATGAATGTAATGGAATACTATTGTGCTATAAGAAATGATGAACAGGCTGACTTCAGAAAAACCTGGAAAGACTCGTATGGTCTGATGCTGAATGATGTGAGCAGAACCAAGAAAACATTGTACACAATAACAGCCACGTTGTGCGATGACTAATATTGATAAACTTAACCCTTCCCAGCAATACAAGGATCTAAGACATCTCCAAAGGCCTCATGATGGAAAATGCTATCCACATCCA